GACAAGCTAGGGTTATGGCACAGAATGCCGGTGTACCTGGGGCTTTCCTACTTGGGGATGAGAAGGCACTTGCACCAGAGATATAATCTCATACACGTTGGTGGTGTTGATGGCAAGAAGTATGACACTCAAGCATTCGATTACCGGACGGCGGACGGAAGGTGCAACCACCCAAGCGACGATGCCGTGGGTAGTCAAGGAACATTTTTGGGACGCAACATGCCTCCCTCCACTTCAACTTACGGGGTAAGCATGGATATCATGCCTTTTGACATACTCGGTCTATCAAATAACAGTGGTTGAGTTTACGTTTATTTGTTTTTCCTCTTTAAGATCAGAAGTTTACATTACTTTTAAAGAGAACAGGCCACCGATAAAACCGTCCTTAATGCTCATATGCGACGGCTTACTGGTCGTCGCCTGTGCGAAGCCGGTCGACACCGGCGACTGCCATTGGAGCCGTCCCTAAAAGCTGCATTAGGGGCAGTTTTCCTTGTCCCTAAACTCGCTTGAGAATTATATACATGAAAGAAGTGCTTTTTGTCTTTTTGGCTTCTCCCGGTGGGGAGAGCATAAAACGTGCAAAGCTTTGTTCATAGGAAGACACCAGATCGTTGACAATTGTTACCTCTCCATTGCAGGAAGATTTATTCTAAATTCCAAGTTAAAAAAAGGCAAAAATTTTGTTTTTTTAAAATTCAAAAAACTAAAGTAGATTTGCTTTTATGTAGGAGAAGATGAAAATGCAACTTTAGAAAGTTACCCTACCACGAGCCATTTACGAATTCCAGCAGTCTCTCCTTTAGGTTTCTATCGATGGTCCATAGTCAAAATCTGTATATGGACTGCAATGACAGGTCAGGGAAAAAGTCCCACTTCCCAAGGGCCTCATTATTTTCATTTGGGTCGCCATTAATTACTCTTCTCATTGAGTGGTAGGCAGGCTATGGCTCTGTCTCACCGTCCATGTCCAGTGAACAGATTTGTTCAGTTTCTGTCTGAAATGGCCTGCAAATTTCATGAACTTAGATTTTTTATCCGCTTGGAGAACAGCTGTCCAGTCTTTGTCTGTCATTATCTTAAAGATTTTTTGTCTTCAGATGAAATGCCAAGTACAAGCATAAGCCGGAATACCAAAAATTCTAAGTTTAATTGTCTTCTTTTTCCACAGTTAATGGATCCACATCCATCTGTGGTGGCATCCAAGCTTTTGGCAAGAAAAGAGTTCATCGACAATGGGAAGCAATTCAACATGATAGCGTGCTCATGGATACAGTTCATGATTCATGACTGGGTTGATCATATGGAGGAAACTGAACAGGTACTAAATAAAAGAGAAAACCCCCAAAGCCTCTCTATGACCCGAGGCACAACTAGCTATTTGTAGGAAAACAACGTCCAAATAATTTGACAGGCTAATGGAGAAGTAGTTGAATGGACCCACCAGTTGTCTCATCTCATTGAAGACTCAATGATCAATAATTTCTTCAGCAGGTAGAAATTAAAGCACCTGATGAAGTTGCAGAGGAGTGTCCATTGAAGTCGTTCAGATTTTACAAGACCAAGAAAGTGTCAACTGGGTCATCTCATTGGAAGAATGGCTCTCTGAATATAAGGACCCCGTGGTGGTAAGTTCCTGTGAACAGTATTGAAATAACTAGGGAGTACTAAACATCAGGCAGCTATTAAAAAAACTCCTGTCACTGAATCTTTGGAGCCATCTGATTCTTGATCCTTTTACGAGTCGAATGCAGAAAAAGACGGTTAAGAAAGATTTGGAAAAAGATTAAAATGAAATGTTGTAGACATTGTTTCGACCTCGCTGAGCCGTAAGAGTCGGAATTCCCTACTTTTTGCCTCCGCACCCTTACATACTGAGAACTAATAACTTGCTTTATGCTGTCAGCAGGCAGATGTCAATATTTGTTCTCAGTCTGTTCTTTGATGTTGCAGAGTTCCTCAATAAAATGAAATTTGGCCTGGATAGAATAGTGTTCCGAGGAAATTACGGAAATTTCATTGAGATACGCTAAAACTTGCTTACATGCAGAGTTTCATCCAACATTGATGTCACTATGAAGTCTAGTACTTCCAGAAAGGCTACTAATCCGATGACTTAAGGTGTGATTTCATGTCAAGTGAAAAAAAAGGTGTCTGTCTGTGAAATGATTAGCTGATCTTAGTCAAAATTTCACCAATGAACTGGCTACTGCTTTGAGAGTTCCCTTGAACAATTGACATAAAGAGAATTTCTTAATTGAGTTGTACATTGTAAACTGCTTAGGGATGGAAGCGTGATATATGGAAATGACGATAACGGCGAGAGAAGAGTGAGGACCTTCAAAGATGGGAAGCTAAAGATTTCGGGAGAAGGCCTCCTTGAACACAACGAGAAAGGGATTCCTATTTCAGGCGACGTCAGGAATAGCTGGGCTGGCTTTTCACTCATCCAGGCCTTATTCGTCAAAGAACACAACACCGTCTGCGATATGCTTAAAGTAAGGTTTCCCTTCTCTTCCACCAATCCAACGAAAATACCTTCCTTATATAACAATGCTGTCCCGAGTTTTGAATTGCAATGATCTGGTGAAATGTCCATGAAGTCCTGATATTGTTGTTTCCAAATTCTTCTAGTCTATAAGGGCCGAGACTTCTCTCGTCATTTGTTCTCGGGCTTCGGCGAAAAGTTAGCTCTGAATACACACTGCACGTCCTTTAACTGAGGAAAGATTATAGAACAAACATCTTTCATCATCTTCAGAACCATAGCTCATGTAATTACCGCGGTTTCATGCTTGCTATCCTTCGGAATGAGCGGTATAGACCCAAAGTTTCATTGAAAAAATTGCTGGCACTTATATACCAAAGGAACTACAAGGACAGCTAATATTATGTACTTGTGTATGTGTCAGGAACATTATCCAGATCTTGATGACGAGAAGCTCTATCGCCATGCTAGATTAGTGACTTCGGCTATAATTGCCAAAATCCACACCATTGACTGGACAGTGGAGCTCCTGAAGACCGACACTCTTCTTGCTGGAATGAGGATAAACTGGTAATACAGAGAGAAAAATGGATCTGATGATGAGTGACTGGGCATTTACAAGTAGTTGTGAAACCTATGTGTGATTCTGTGATTATGCTGTAATTGCTTCTTACCACTATCGTGCCTGATTCAGGTACGGATTTCTGGGGAAGAAATTTAAGGATATCTTCGGACATATATGCGGACCAATACTGAGTGGATTAGTAGGTCTTAAAAGGCCAAGAGATCACGGAGTTCCTTACTCACTCTCTGAGGAGTTTGTGAGTGTCTATAGGATGCATGCACTCCTTCCGGATAAACTCATCCTCAGGGACATCGACGCAACTATCCCGGAACACAAGTGTCTGCCCATTGCAGAAGAGTAATCATCTTATCATCCCATTTGCATCTAATTTCACTTTCTTCATGTTTGCTATTAGCCTGTTACTGCTAAACTGAAGGTCGTAGTACTGACAAAAAGCAAAGAACTTCGATCTCGTGAAATAACGGATATATCACCTTCCTCGGGAAATGGCTTTCAATTTTACGTCTAGGGGGACTACAGTCGCTAATTGCTCTAGGCAAAATTACTAGGATACCGATGCAGGAAGTGGTGGGACGACAAGGGCAGAGAAGACTCTCAAGGATTGGAATGGAGCAGATGATGGTGTCACTGGGTCATCAGGCATGTGGGGCTCTCTCTCTGTGGAATTACCCATCTTGGATGAGAAACCTTGTTCCTCAAGACGTCGACGGCGAAGATAGACCGGACCTAATCGACATGGCAGCATTAGAAAGTAACATAACTTCTCGACTCATTTCTTTCGCACCCTATATCCTCATCACGACTGTACTAGAACTGATGCTCACATCTTGGGACCAGTTTACAGAGACAGGGAGAGAGGCATCGCGCGGTTCAACGAGTTTAGAAGAAACGTGCTGATGATCCCAATCAGCCGCTGGGAAGATTTGAATGATGATAAGCAAGTTATCGAAGCCTTGCGAGAAGTCTATGGGGACGATGTGGAGAAGCTTGACCTGTTGGTGGGTTTGCATGCAGAGAAAAAGATCAAGGGCTTTGCCATAAGTGAAACTGCTTTCTTCATCTTTCTACTGATTGCATCCAGGTACTCCTCATAATGCACCTACACCACCCTAATTAGGATACTCTGGAAGTGTTGCCCCTCAATTCCTCAACGTATTGGCTGTGTCTTTCAAATTCTTGTATCTTCGTTCTTGACAAATTTTTTCCAGGCGGCTAGAAGCCGACAGGTTCTTTACGACCAACTTCAACGCACGGACATACACAGAGAAAGGCCTGGAATGGGTAAGTAAGACGGAGACGTTGAAGGACGTCATCGATCGTCACTTCCCCGACATGACGAGGAAGTTTATGAAATGTTCGAGCGCATTCGCTGTATGGGATTCGCTGCCAACACCGACCTCATACATACCCCTCTATTTGCGTCATGCGCCTTAAGATGTTTTCCTCCCCTTTTGACGAGCTTCAAATTTCCATGTACGAGTCTGTATACATGGTAATTGCCATGGTATAGGTGAAGCTGTAGGGTCTTGGCTTTGACCCTTCTTGAGCTAAGCAACTGCGGTTGATTCTACTATGAGTATGAATTACCACATATAGGCCTGCAAATCTATAAAATCTTTTGTACTTTAAATTAGCTCAACCTCCACAACGGAGCTATCTGAATATTTAGTATTTATAGGTATCTCCAATTAAGAACTCTATTTTAAAGTGCTTTTGACGCAACGAAATGCTGGAAAACAAAAGTGCGGCACCGTAATAGCGTGTAGGAGAGGTAAAAATTTGTTTGTAATCATAGAGCCACAAGCACTCAGAAGGCGCTTCGCAGAAAACCAGCATTAAAATCACCTCAACTTAATAAAACCTCCAAGCAATAAACAGTAGCATGCAATAAAGCTTGTGACACATTTCCACAATGAAAATCTCTCGGAGAAGAGAAAATACAGTAAAGGTTTATCTGATAACACTAACAAACACAAGCTTCAATGATGAAAAAACCTCTATTTAAAGATAAGAGGCAGTGACTCCTGCAGCTCAGATTCTTACGGTTGACGCGGCCAAAAACAGCCTTCAAAAGGAAGAACAATTAACTTAGACGAAACCCACCAGGCCACACCAGCGTAAGATGAGAATAAAATTCTGCTCCGCCACTGCTCAAGATTCTTGAGACCCCACAGTAGCACAAGAATTCGAAGCTGCAACATTGGGACTTGAAAGCTTGCAGCTTCCTTTCTGAAAAAAGCAGAAAGCTATACCTCCCAGTTCTTACAGCAAATCCCCTTCAAGTAGATGCAATCTCTGAAATTTCACATAATCTCCCCAAGATCACTGTCTGTTTATCCTCCATACACGAATGCACGCATCCTCACCAGAACTAACCACACTGAAGTCGTCGGTGAAAGCTAATCCATAAACTCCACCCAAGTGAGCTCCTTTTATGGTTAGACGGTTAGATACTGGCTTGTCAACTTCATAGATGATGATGCAAGTGTCAAGTGATCCAGTTGCTACTATGCTGCTATCGGGTGACCAAGCCAAACAGTTGATGCGGGCTGTGTGGTACAACATATTCTTCACTCTAACCTGCAAAAAGCTTGTTCATTATATTAGGAAACCGCATATATTGGTTAGGATAGGAAAATGAAAGGTAAGACTTTTCCTTCTTGGATGTGTCATGATTGGTCTCATTGAATGAAGCATCTAAAAGTTTCTCATCACAACCAAAATGGTAAAGCAACGAAACCACATCCCACAGGTTATTTCGAAGCAGTTTCTGCCCATGTTTCATATTTAGGTTTTTGTTTGTTTACACTTTACACATTAAAAAAATAAGTTTTTCTACATTTTATGTTCCCTCCAAAAATTTGAAAATGGAAAAATGTTACAAATATATGGGTATCATATGTCAACATAAGTATATTTTCAAAGGTCTTAAGTGTTTCGTGTCGAATTAAAATCAAATTGTGATAGCTGCACAACTTTCAAATAAAAAAAAGTCACTTTTAAAACAGATTTATCCAGCCTTCAGTAACATAATTGTGTAGTCACCTTAACTGAATTCTCAAAATGCAACAAAAATGCCATCACAGCAATTTATTACCTCTCTTGAGGCACGATCCCAAACAACAGCCTCTCTGTTCAGATCCCCAGAAGCAAACATGGATAAATCAGGCGAATAGCGTATGACACTAATAGCACCTCTGTGTTTCTCCAGAACAGCTTCCTCTGTTAATGTATCACCTGAAATAGAATATATGTGCAATTTTCCATCCTGTGCGCCAATAATTGCTTCAGTTCCATCTGGTGCAACGGTTGATGCTGTTACAGCAAACCCAAGATTGATGGTTGACACAACTTTTGCACCGCGGAGCAAGACAACTCCTGTATCGGTTGAAACCAATGCAAATTCAGGACACTGAAGGGCAAGACTCAAGTCCTTGGGTTGACAGCCAATGTCAATGAATTCTGCATCTCCACTTTGACTAGCATGGCCAGAAACTCTCCATACCTGGTCACATAAAACAAAATTAAAGAGAGTCACAGGCAGCAAGCAATGCTTCCCTATGCTCAGTCATTTGTGGGCATATCCTATTTAACAGACCAATGCCACCGCCGCCACCGCCACCACCATCTGACTCCACTAAGCCTATACTTACAAGCTTACACAGACTAATTTTCCTGAGAAAGCAGGGTTAACAAAATGGGTATAGAAAAATGAAAAGGACTTGTCCCAAGAAGATGCACAGAAAGCAAAAAGGACAAAATCGCCTTGAAAACCAGCTGCTCTACCAAAGGAACCAGTTCCAAAGAAGCAAATTTTAAAATGATTAGAAAACAGAAAAAGAGTGAAAAGGCTTCATCTCATTACTACTCATCAAATTCTAGGCTTCAGAATTTCTACATCAGGCACATACACCTGGAAAATTCTGTGAAATTACAGGTTATGGGCACAACCACTGCATGTCCATCCACCAGAATTTGGTACCTCACTTCTACATATCTTGCGTAACCATTATGCAGCCAATACTCTTGTGGCTTGATCAAGAGGAAAAGGGAAAAAAATGATAAATTTCTTAGAAATACGATGTTTTATACATGGAAATCATTCTGATACAGTTTTTATGCTTAACTTTCTCCAGTCTTTCAAGAATTTGATCAACTATACGCATCTCAACTACATAGCCCTATAAAAAAACTTGTTGAAGGCAACTGCCTCACCTTATTATCATATCCAGAGGTTACAATCTCCTCATCTACTGCAGCCAAACATTTGATTTGTGTAGTCTCTTTCCTCTGTACTCTGCCACTAAATCCAATTCCTTGAACCCATTTTATTATAAGACCATCGTAGCTACTGGAGAGCATCACTTTCGGATCACCCTTGAGCACAGATAAGGAAGAGACATTCTTCATGTGTCCAGAAAAGGAGACTGGTGCTTTATCAAGATCACTTGCTGTGTATATGCTGATTGTGCCACCAAGAGAGACAGTGACTAGGTGGTTGTTTTGCCAAAGACAACCAACTAACATGTCATCAACCCCGCCCGAACCAGAAGAAGTCAATGTTTTTGTTAGCTTACCACTGCCATCCTCAGAAATGTCCCATATCTTCGCTGACTTGTCAGCGGACACAGTTATAACCTAAACCATCCAACCATCGTTAACATACAAGAAAACTACATGTAATTACAGACAAAAACCATTGCTTATATGATCACAAACACTCATATGCATCAAAGTACTAAAGTCCATTATTCCACATGTATCATGCAGATCCGTTGAATGTCTTCTACTACACTACTTCTCTTACCCCCCAAAAAACCATTTGATCTTTACATAATTGTAAAAGAGTTGACACAGATATATTGTTATTGAGAAAAGAAAGAAAACTAGCTTCACAAACAGCCTTTCAGACGTTCCAAAGCAACAAAAATTTAATGTCCCAACATCTATGATCCAGGATCATCACATTTTACATGCTTTTTCTATTACATAGGTCTTACTGGCAACTAGAATTCCGTTGTATCTCTACATATGCAATCCCATTCTACTGAAATCAAATGCCTACCTACTGCAAGTTTGTCCTGAGTCCAAGTTCCAACAGATCTACCCCAACAAGGAATGCAAATAAAAACTATGCTTGGAGATCTACCGATACCTGCTTACTATCAGGACTCCAACTGACAGCATAAATGCTACCCTTGTGACCATCATCAGACGACAGCTCTCCTATCTTCTCGCCAGTCTTACCATCATAGATGATTCCTTTTTTATCAGAGCTCACGCTAATGAACCTGTTGCCATCTGGAGAAAATCTCACGCAGTTGACAAAGTTGGAATGATCCCTACAGAAATTGAAAACAGTCATGCATCAATGAGTATTAATACAACTCTAGAATGCCCTCAGTACCCAAAAAAAAAAAAAAACCTCCAGAATGCCCATGTAACTCTTCCTAGTCAAATCCAACCGTGCGTTATACCAGCAAAAGGCATAAGCAACAATAATTTTATACATGATTTTGCGGAAAGAAGTTTCAGTCAAAATCTACCTATATTGAACCGGTAAATCCATTTGAAAATAAACAAAAATCCACGGATTGAGAGTTCAACCAGTACAGAAAATTCAACCAATACAAAGGACTAGAGTTTACTGCACAAGTACAAAAGAATGACCACAATGAGGCTCCACTATAGAATTTCTAAGATCAATTTAAATCTAACCAAGCAAGACATCACCCAGGTGAACTAAGAACAACAAACCTGCGAGACAGCTTGAATTTAAAAGGCGGTCCTTCGTAAAAGTTCACCAAGAAATCCTCTCCACAAGTCACAATGCGGAAGGGCCGAGTTGGTTTAAATGCACAGCTCAGAACTCGACGTGAATGGCCATCGAATTCTCCCACATTGGTGCCTGAGTCCCACCTAGACCCCAAAAAAGAAGAAAATTTCCACCATTAAACGATTATACGTAGCAAAAAGATTACCCAGACAACCAAGTACATGCACCATATTGACATGCATGGCCATTTAATCAGATATTGACATAGTCTGCCTTCTAGAGTACACATAACTTGATCCACCAAGTTTTCCGCTCTTTATGCCAAGAGCTTAAACAAACCACATCTAATCGTTCTGCGTCTCACCTTCATTTAGAATTACAATTTGTCCACTCAACCCGGATCAGCAAATCAACCGAGCTCAACAAGTACCGAAGGGAAAAAAGGACGCATTCGGGCAAATAAGTTTTCCAATCCATACCCTGAGATTCCCCTCCTTCCACACGTTTCTAAGGTCCAATAGCCCCACAATCTCCTACATTTCCCTACGACGAACACGGAATCGCATAACATCTACGAATCTATGACAATTAAGAACCATACAAAATACAAAAAAAAAAAAAAACTCCCCACGGAAAAAGCAATCAATAGAAAGAAAGAAGAATAGAAAGAAAAAAGCGAAAAGCGAAACTCACATGAACGCGCGGACGAAGGATTTCCCCTTCCCATCGCCGGAAGCGACGATCCTGAGACCGTCGGGGGACCACTGGAGGTCGTCGATCCGGCCGGAGAGGACCTTGAACTCCTTCTTGAGGACGTGGTCGCCGTGGGCGCCCCAGACGCGGACGGAGCCGGAGGCGTCGGCGGAGGCGATCCACTCGCCGTTGGGGGAGAAGCGGGCGACGGTGGCGGGGTAGGCGTGGTCGGCGTAGACGGAGGCGTCGAGGGGGTTGTCGAGGCTGAGGATGACGACGGACCGGCCGTTGGCGTAGAGGACGGAGCTGGACCCGGGCTTGGGGCTGCCGGCGATGAGGATCCCGCGGCCGCGCTCCGTCGAGGGCATGCACGCGTACGTCTCCGCCAGCTGCGTCATCCTTCTAGAGAGAGAGAGAGAGAGAGAGATTAGGGCGTGTACGTACGGACGGGTGAAGATCGGAAAGGGGAAAGTGGAATCTAGATCTGGTTAGAGAGAGAGAGGGAATTTCGAAAGGCGTGGGATTTTATATTTACAGGTTAAAAAGAATAAAAAATTTTAGGAAAAAATAAAGAGGTCAAAAGAATAATAAAAAGAAAAAAAGGTTAAAAGATAGTGCGTGGCAACTAACCGCCTGCCTGCCTGCCTGCGTGACGTGGACTTCTTCGGGGTATTTCTCCTCTTTTGACGCTTTCCAGGGGGGGCGGGCGCAGTCGGGTCCCGGGTCGGATCTTGGATCGGACCCGACCCGAAAAATCGCAAATTTTCAAAATAAATGAATAACAATCGTATTAAAAAGAGAAATGAACAAATGTTAATCTAAAAGGGTCTGATAGGTCTCATTCTATTCCTTAAATCTTTATGGACTCTAAGTTTTAAGTTACATTTCCTATTTTGAATCGATCGCGATCTTTTCTTCCTATATGTAGAGAGAACATATCTCGAAAATGACTGATCATGACATGCGAATTGGTATGTGTATTTGAGTACCTTTATAAGCTTGGAAGGACGGGGAACGGTTTGGGATTTGGTAAAATCGTCTCGAATAGATAGGTCGCCCTATGAAGGGAGTTAGCACTACAGATGGAGCGGACAATACTCCACGTATCCGGAAACCGAGACTCGGCTCTAAATCGATTTGGTTCAAATTCATGTTGGTGCTTTGGAGCAAGTTTCGGGCCTTGGCACTCGTAGCGAAACATTCCTAGAGAAGTCAACAAGGGTTTGTCATGTTTGGCCAAGAAGAGGAAGTGCTAGATCATGCAAGGTTTTTAACTTTTCCTTATACATAAAGGTTACGTTTGATTGTTTGGATTTTGAGTCAAGGTATGATTGGAAAATATATATGGTATGATATGTTTGCTATATCCTGTCCAATATATGGTGAATTGTAGTAATAAAATTAGATATTTTCATGTCCTATTAGGTTCATTGTTTGATATAAATAACATATCAGTTTAAGTGAACTTAAAAATGTACAAATTGATGGTAAGAATCTCTCACAGTACACTATTAAAGAAACCATAAAAGCACAAATGGAGATAACATCCATCAATTGATCCATGATTATTGTGCGATATAAATCTTTAATGGTGAATGAGCTCATTGCAGTATTTTACAACAAGAAGTTAAATTATGACAAGAAATGTAAACAAGCTACATCAACATCGGTGAGGTAGATCTGTCAGCGAATGCCGAATCTAGTAAGAGAGAGAAACATGATAGTCCACATTCACAATTTAAAGAAGTATAATGCTTCGACTCTCTCGCCTTTTTCATTTTTAATTACTGATTTTTTAATTATTTTTCCCTCTCTTTTTTTTTTTTTCATTTTTGTCTTTTTTATTCCCTTCCATCATTCATTAATAAAAAATTATAAAATAATAAACTATACAAATACACCTAAAATATGTAATAAATATAACTACTGAATACATACACACCTTGCTCCAAAAAAAAATACATACACACATAAAGCATATATGTTATGGAATAGAAATAAATTCAAAAAATTGATAAAAATGAGAATAAAAAAACAAAAATTGTTGTTATTTTGTTGTTATTTTGAGTTTTCTTTTTTTATTAGAATTCAAATGTTATTTAATTATTATTTTTTAATTTTATTAATATAAGAGATTTGTTATTTGAGAAAAATAACTTTTATATCATGGATACGAGAAATCTTATTCCTCCCTCACGGGATATTTTTCTCTGGACTATACTCCTTTTATATCCGACCTTATCATTTCTTGGACAAGAATCGAACATAAGATAGTAGTAAATTTTAATCCTATCCAAACTACCAAACGTAGTCATAAAAAATTTTCTCGGGCTGTATTTATACACGGAGAAGATAAGAGTCATGTGTTGCCATTGCCATGAAGATTTGAAAAGCTTATGAATCGGCAGGGAGAATTTTTATGCACTTAAATTGGTTCAAGACCCTTTGACATGCTTCGTATTAAATGGAGATGAGAGTCTTCTTAATCGAAGCTCTATCCTAGCTCCTATTGTCTCCCGATAGACCAAGTTCAAAGCATCATTAAGGGAAAAGTGATAGAAAAGTCATAAACTCGTTGTATTAGTGTTAATCTAGTCTTAAACATTTTGACCTAGTGTTAATTCAGTCCTTCCGACTAATTTTGACTGGATATTTCTAATGTGGATGCCGATCGACCTATATGGCACTACCGGTGCTGACGTGGATAATTTTTAACAATATTTTAATTTTTTTTTTCGATTTTTAATTATTTTTTAAAATTTTTTCTTTTCTTTTTTCGTTTCTTTATCCTTTTGCCAGTGACTAGCCATCAGCCACAAATGAGGCTTGGTCAGGCGAGGGCAAGCCCCGACGAGGGTTGGCCTTGTCAAGGCCAGAACTGGCTAGGGGATCCCTTACTGGGGCTCATCCTCACCTGGCCAGGCCTCACCTTTGGTGGGCGACGGCAACCTTTGCCCAAGCGAGGCTAGCCCGCTTGGCAATGGCCGGTGGCCAATCACCAGCAAAAGGAAAAGAGAAAATAAAGAAAAAAATTGAAAAAATAAAATATTAAAATATTATTTAAAATTATCCACATCAACGCCTGTGGCAATGCCAACCAGTGTCTACGTCAGTAATATCTGGCCAAAATTAGCCAGAAAAACTGAATTGACACAATGTCAAAAGGTTTATGACTAAATTGGCACGATTAAAAGTTTTAAGACTGAATTGGACCAATGCAATAAGTTTAGGACTTTTCTAATACTTTTTCCCATTATTGTAATGTGCCATGGACAAATACAAAGTATTTTAACCCTTAGGGTGCGTTTGTTCGAGGGAAAGCATTTTTTGAGAATCCATTTTCCAGACTTTCACCCGTTTGGTTCGCCGAAAATGGTAAGTTAACCGAAAACATTTTCCGGTCAAGGAAAAAATTCATGTATAAAATTATAAAAGTGAATTTATTAATCAAAGAAAGTGAAAACACTTTCCGGAATTGCTTATCTTGAATTTGTTAATATTTTTTCTTTTCTTTTCTTTCGAAGAAGGAAAACATTCATGTATTTTCTTTTCTTAATAAATTTTTTAAAAAAATAAAAAAATACAAAATTTTTGGATAATTTTCACCATCAAATTTTTCTCACCAAACAACTGAAAATACTTTACTTTTCAAATATTTTTTAGGTTTTAGCCAAATATTGAAAAATGAACTCATTTTCCTAGAAAATGACTTCCTGAAAAGTATTTTTCAGAAATGATATATTTTTCATGAAACAAACACACCCTTAGATTACAAATTCCATTCACATCTTTAAATCCCAAATTTAATTGAACAACGTCGATATCAACCCAACTCAAAAGGGTAAATTGGATTATGATATTGATAATGTCGATATTATTCTTAGAATATCATTGAATTAATGTAAAATCATTCTCATGTATGTAAAAAGAATGAGAATTTAATTTATTGACGGCCAAAGCCATATCATAGGTACCGTCACCTTCACAAAAACCCATTTTTATTAACTCGTAAGGACTAGATTCCTAAAAAATCCCAAGCTCTTTTTTTGTTTAAAAATAATTCGATCTTTCACTATAATCCAAAATCTGCTATCGCGTCCAAAAATCACAACCAATTTCTTCAAGATAATCAATATTAAGAGGTTGTTGTTGTTTCGATAATGAATCTCTAACTAGTCATGATATTGATAATTTTGAAGAAACTAGTGGCGATTTTTTGGATGTTAGATTAATTTGAGACATGAATGTCAGTTGGGGAGGTAGAATTGGAATTGGAATTGAACCTAAAGTTGATGATATTTTTAGGGAATTAGCGGATACATAGAAGATAATAGGTTTGCTAAAATCGAACCAAGCGCCAGGTAGCCAAGGGCCCACCGGCGGTGTTGCGTGGGTTTACCATTAACTTAGAACCGGATGGTAAATTGATCGAATCTGCAATGGGATCACATTTTCCATTAAAAGCTGTAAGCTTATTGGTGAGCATTTAAAGTCTATTTAAGGGGAAATCCAAGGAGATTACCCTACTGAATGCCTCTTGACTTATATATATACGTCCTTTGTATAGTGTAGTTTTATACACATCTCCATAACTGTTGTGTCTACTTCTCCGGCTTCGCGATAAGCTAGTTTCGCGCGAATTTGGAATTGTGTTTCGTGCCAAATTGTTCCTCACGAGTCCATAATTGTGTTTCGCGCCAATTTTCGCTCCCCAGTGAATTGAATTCACTTGGTGCATATTGGGAACTCAAAAAGCTTTCCTACTTGAAACGGGAAGGAAGAAACGGAATTCCCAACTTGATTAGGAAAATCCAATTCTTCTCGGGAAACGTGCTCATCTGCATGAGAACTCGGAGTTCCAACTACCTCGTGGCCATCCGGATCAGCACATTGGATCCAATAACCGATAAGATCCAATCATTGAATCTCAGCAGCGCTAATCATGGATCTGGCTGTTGACGAGCTAGAGCAGCGATTTCCTTTGTTATCACGAACCCAATTCTATCCCAAACTCTTTTTTGTCTAAAAATAATCCGAACTTTCACTCTAATCCAAAATTTGCCATTGCGTCCAAAACACACTGCATCAATATTAGGAGGCTCTGGCCTTGATATTAATAATTTTGAAGAAACTAGTGGCGATTTTTGGTGGACGCGTGGATAGATTTGAGATATGAATGTCAGTTGGGGATTTTTTTTAGACAATAAAAAGTTTGAGGCAGAATTGAAATTAGACTTAAAGTTAGTAGTTTTTTCAAGGAATTAGCGCATACATATAAGATAACAGGTTTGCTAAAATCGAATCAAGCCCCGGGTAGCCAAGATCCCGCTGGCGATGCCTCTTGGGTCCACTGTTGACTTAGAATCGGATGGTAAATGACCGAATTTGCAATGGAATCACATTTTTCCTTAAAAGCAGAAAGCTTATTGGTGAGCATTTAAAGCGTATTTGATGGGAAATCCAAAGATTACCCTATTGAATGCCTCTTGACTTATAAATACGTGCTTTGCATAGTGTAGTTTTATACACATCTCCAAACTGTTATGTCTAATTTTTCGGCCACACGATAGGCTAGTTTTCACGCGAGTTCACAATTGTGTTTTGCACCAATTTCGCGCGAATTCGGAACTGTGTTTCACACCTAATTCTTTCTCACGAGTCTTGAAGTAGGTGCCAATTTTCACTCCCCGGTGGATTGAATTCGCTTGGTGCATGTCGGGAACTCAAAAAGCTTTCCTGTTTGAAACGGGAAAGAAGAAACGGAATTCCCGGCTGGATCAGGCAAATCCAATCCTTCCCGGGAAACTTGCTCATCTGCATGAGAACTCAGAGTTCCAACTACCTCATGGCGATCCGGATCAGCACATCAGATCCAATCACCGATGAGATCCAATCATTGAATCTCAGCGGCGCTAATCACGGATCTGGCTGTCGACGAGCTACGGCAGTGATTTCCTTTGTTAACGCAAATCCAATCTCTCTAAGGGGTGCAACCATAAATTGCAACATATGATGAAAAAAAGTGATTAACTATGTAAATCAACTGATTTATCCATCTGTACAACGAAGGGCTCCAACAAATTGTCATTAGGAAACTAATATACATGACAGCCAAAGCACGTCAATGTATGTATTCTTATGCAAAATTCTCTATGTTAATATCAAAGTCTACTTCTCCGTGATGCAGAGCGCTGCAAAACAAAAAACGGCACAATTTGGAGTTCAATAACAAAACCGGCATTTCACATGGAATAGGTATACGAAGTTATATTTTTTAGGTGTACCTGCAAGAAGAGGGATCGTGAACTGTGACAGATGTTGAGCATTCTTCTTTGGCGATAACCACCGGACATGAACTGCATTGGTGATCCCTTTCTTGAATGATTGAAGTCATCAAGTATGGAGAGCCTCGACCTTTCGAGACAACCCATCAATAGCCTCGTCATTCACTTCAGCCTCCTCATGCTGTCAATGAAAAGGAACGATTTATATGAGTCGAAGATAGAAATTGAGAGCAACCATTTCCGTAGGTCAGTTGTCAGATTACAGTCATGACATATCTGGTAAGTACATGCAAACAAATCCAACAAGAAATGGGGCAAGATTTGAGTCCTTGAATTACTAGAGCGAACTGATGAGCCGAGAAAGTGTCAAAGAAATCGATTAAGGTTGTGCGGTAATTATCTTGACAGATTAAGAAACAAAGAGGTTGCTTCTTAAATGTCGAGAGTTCAAAAAGGTTCTGAAAAACAGGAAAGAAACAGAAAAATTCCATCACACTGCTCGTCGTGCTCAAAATCTGTTCAACTTTGTCATCTTTGCATTTCTACTAAAGACAGCACAGCTAACCATCATTTTGTCCGAGCGAAAAAAATTAACACTTGTCAAAACGTTTACAATAAATCAACTTGAAGCAACACACCTTGGTTTCTCTTCCCTTAACGCCAATGCACTTGGAAGCACTGATGCTAGCACTCTTCAATAAGCAACGTGTACTATTCGGTTGGTTGTGCTCATGTTGCACATCCGAATTTGGATTCCCCAAATTATTAGACTGCTGCGCTGTCTTTGGAGGGCTGGTGGCAACCGAGGCACCTGGCTTCTCGTGATCATTGTTAGGTTCGTAAACTCTCTCCCTAAAGGAAAACATGTCACAGTAAATAACGCGCACAAATGGATTTCAAGCACATCGCAAAGATATCCATTCTGACTCTTACATCTAGAAACATCATGGCTTATGCAAAATTTGAACATACCTCGGCAATGAAGCATTTTGCCTTAGGACTGGAATGCTTCTTTCACCTTTACCATAGTGCTCCTCCAGATGGGCAAACTGTCGCTTGAATCGATCAACACCACTGAGACAAAACGCAGAGATTGATGACACCTAACCCATTACCCGGAGAACGAGTTTAAACATTTTTAACGATAGCTAGGCGGAAGTACACCAAACTTTTCAATGTCCTGTGAACAAACTCATCAGTTCATGTGATACATTCAACCAGGAATTCTTCTATGAAACTTCACTCAGATTTACAGGTATAATTCAACCAGGAATTCATCTATGAAACTTCACTCAGATTTACAGGTATAAAAGCCATTCTACCTCCCTTCTGTATCTTTCTAATGAAAGCGTTGATGATGATCAAGGTCGTCATTAGTTTGAGTTAGCTAAGCGTAACCAGAGAAAAATGGTAGAATATCCAGAAAGCGCAAACAAGTTGGCAAGTAATTGGTACAACACAATACATGTAAGCTCTTCTCTAAGGGTGCGTTTATTTCACGGAAAACGTAACGTTTTTGGAAAATATTTTCCTGAAAATCATTTTCCAGGAAAATAGTAAGTTTTCCTTTTGTTTGGTGATATGTGATTGAAAACGTTTTCTAGTGTTTGGATCTCATTTGGAAAATGATTTCAATCCCGTGATTTTATCAGGCAAAAAACTAATTTCGAATTTTTTAATATTTTTATTTTTAAAAATAAAAAAAGAAAAGAAAGAAAAGAATAAAAAATTAAAAAAGTCAAGGGAAGTAATTTCGGAAAGTGTTTCATCTTCTTAGATTAAAGAATTCACTTTCCTCATTTTATACAGGAATGTTTTCCTTGACCAGAAAGTGTTTTTAGTTGACTAATCATTTTCGACGAACCAAACGGGTGAAAGTTCGGAAAACAGATTTCCGGAAAACACTTTCCCTTAAACAAACACACCCTAAATGCTGATTTGGGTTCTGTTTAAGTATATTCAGTGGTATTAGGACTTAGATAGCAGGTGTCATAAATAAGATAATTAGGGTTTTGGGAGTCTCATGCTCTATAAACAGAGCCATCTTATGTCCTCTTTCTATCAAGTCATTGAGTAAAGGTGTGGTCGTTTTTTTTTTCTCTCTCTCTCTACCTCTCTTGAAGATCCTAGAATATTTGCAAGTTCAAATAGTTGAGATATCAGGCAGACCTTGGGTACATGAAGCTTATTTGATCTCCTCCCCGAAGATACTCCTGGAGCATCTGAGGATGATACTCTAATATCTGTACAACTCAAGATAACAGATAGTTAGCAATGATAAAAAATGCTATAAGATGTGAAGAAACAATTAATTTTAAGAGAATACCTCACGGTAAATTAACTCTCTGACATCATCTTTCGTCAGTTTTCTTCTCTCGAACTCAAACTCAAGTTTCGAGATGGGTTGAGCAGATGGTTCACGTTCCAAATTGGCCAAACCATGAAAATAAGGATCAGCTAGTGCCTGTAAACATAGGTATTATTGATACCGTGAGTATATATACTCAACAACCAAGACTTGTAACTTCTCAGGGGAATTATATCGATATGTAACTTCATATTTCCACAACCTCTTCAGCAGTTGGACGATTTTTAGGGTCAAATGCAAGAAGGCGCTCCAGCAGGTGAAGAGCCAGTGGATCTGCATTAGGAAACTTTTGTTTGAAAGGAACAGGTTGTTTCTTCCGCATGTTACTAAGGTACCTTCTAGCCTTTTCATTCCGAATCTGCCAATTGTGGAAAAAGTTATTTCAGGGGAAAAGAATACAACTAGAACGAAAATGATTACCTCAGTAAACAAACATTAGAACGGTATGATGTATGCCATATTGTGGTACGCATACTGCATAGTTGCTCATGTATGTGTATTTGTGCATGTTTGGATGCAAAGACTGTGCAAGCATCTTGTACAAATGAATGTCATACACAATAAAATTACTTTGTCTAAAGATGACAGATATTCATCATAAATAGCAACTAACCCTCGCAATGGCTTCAGGAGGAGGAGTGCCAAGCAAATCAGTCATCAGATCCAGTTGATGCACAACATTTTTCCCAGGAAACAGTGGCTTTCCTGTGAGCATTTCCGCAAATATGCATCCAATGCTCCAAATATCAATAGCAGGGGTGTACTGAAAATTAGAAGGTAAAGTGGATTCTATCAGCGTGTGTAAGCCGGAACTACTAGCATGACATCTTTTCAGAAAACATCACTCAAACCAGCTGGCATCGATAAAAATTCCCAGGCATACTTCACAAGAGTGTAAAAGCTCACTAACACGAATGAGAACAACATGGAATAACTGTGCCCGCTGGCAGGCGCACTCTGTCTGTTATAGCCTCTTTTATTATTCCTATAATCGATACATACATGGACTGGGCTAGAGAAATGCCCCCTCAATGTCAATGTCAGAATTAAGACTCTTCAAACATCACTGCACACAGCAAGATACATAAAAGATAGAGGAATTATGACAATAAGCATAAGACAGCAAAGAAGACACAAAAACCTAAAATTGATTGTCCTTAGAGGAAACAAAGGTGTGGGGTGAGTAAAACACAAAATGTGTGAACATGTTTTCTGTCTACTGCATGACAGGAGTAGAAAAAATTTGCTTCTCAGAAAAGCCTTAAAGTTCGTCATTATCTCTTTAGCAACAGATTGAAGTTTGCATAACATCATTGGGGATAGTGTACCAACAAAAATTCAGCAGAAGGCAACTGCACCGGGCTCATACAAAGAGAGAAACAGCTTCAACGAAAAAATTTACCCGCTTTTGCAGGGTTAGCCAGAACAAAGAAATCTTTGAAAGGGAAACAGCCTTGCACATCACAAAGAAACTAACTGCGAATGCTTTTACCAATGAACGTCCCCCACTAAATGAGAAAGGACCAATATTCTTACTCTCTGCATTATGGCTCAAAATATAGTGGGGGTAAGTCACAACTATCATGCAGTAAATGTCCAGAAAAAATAATATTGAACAAACAGGAAGATGGACATGAAAACCAGAAAATTATCCATGGTGAGAGCATTCAACAATAATTGGGGAAGAGGACCATGTAGTCTCTGCCACCATTAAAAAACTAGAGATAATTAACGTATAATCCAGCTTACTTTGGAGAAGAAAGAACCACAGAGTTCTGGAGCACGATACCACCGAGTTGCAACATAATCCTGTGACAAAACATAAGTTTAGCTGGGATATACCATTGTGGATGACATGGTCAATGAATCAGAGTTCATGGAGGTAGAGCTGCAGGAAGATACTTAACGGTCCAGAATATAGCTGATGGAGCATCGTTGAAGGATACACGGGCAAGCCCAAAATCGCAGATCTTTAATTTACAATCAGCATTAGCAAGAATATTTTTCGGTTTTAAATCTCTATGGAAAACATTAGCTGCAAAGGGTCAATTGACAACATTAAGTTCCCAGTGAGGGCATTAAAGCAAAAAGAACTTATGAAAATTTACCAACCGGCATGAATATATTTTAGACCACGAAGAAGCTGGTACAAGAAAAACTGATAGTGCTCAGGGGTAAGATCATCATTCGCCTTAATAACTTGGTGAAGATCTGATTCCATCAGCTCGAATATAACATATATGTCCCTGAATTCCCGCCGTGAGGGAGGAAGCATGATATGCTTGATTTCCACAACATCTGGATGACGAAGCAGCCGAAGGAGCTTTATCTCTCTGAGAATGCGAGTGGCATCAGAAACATGCTCAAAAACATCATTGATTTTCTTAATTGCAACTCTTTCTCCAGTGTGGGTATCAATAGCAGAACCAACCACACCATAGCTTCCTTTCCCAATAACTTCTTGAATTTGATATTGACTAGCTTCACCATATTCTGTAAAGAAATCTGCTTCAGGAGTTCCCTGCATAAAATCACCAGTCATCACCTAATCTACAATGAATAGAGGAATGCTTGAGAAATAAACAAAGCATATCATCAGATTTGGTTTCACCAGCAGCCACACCATGAGTATTAGTCAATTCTCCACATTAGCTCACAATCAAAGCCGTATCGGGACTAAATGATGCTGAACTGCTGATGTGACAATGATACCGTGTTGCCCAGCCAATGAACAATGAATAAAGAGAGAACCTGTAAAAGTCCCTCCATCTAGCCCAGGCATGGAGGGTGTATTCTCTTTATACAAATTGATAAAACTAATCCACCAAACAATAGTGACAGACATGGAATCAGCAAAAGTGCAAACAATTCACAATCCTTCCCTCTACTTTCTCTGCAATGTATGTGGCACCAAGTTCAAAGAAAGCATTGTCTCAGAATCTCCCCCCCCCCCCCCCCCAATCCGCCATTCAATCCCCAAGAGAAAACCAAAGACTAAACAAGATCATTCAAAACGAGCAGAACGCAAGGAAAACGATGGATCGAATGATAACACAAGATCAGATTCACAAAAGGGTCGAGGAAAGAATGGTCAATCTGGAACCTTTTTGTGAGAATCTACAGCCATGTTGAAGTGGGTCCGTTTAGGAACTTTGATCAGAGACAATCCGGAGACGCCAAAATCCTCAACGATCGCGAGATTCCCCTTTTGTTCCCCGCCCTCGCTGTCATCCCCCACACCGTTCGGCGATCGAGCGTGTGATCCGCTCAACGACACGTGACGCTTTCCATAACGGGAGTTGCGGTAACCGTTGCCGCTATTTTGGTCGTGATGGTTATGGCTGTTGTTGTTGCTGCTGTTGTTCGGGACGGTCGTGGAGGAGCGGCGATTGAACCAGCGACGAACGCCGTCCACGAGATTGTTGCTCCCCATTTAGAAGGATCGAACACGAATTGTTTGGATCACCAGCGCTTGACCTGCGACTCCAATGTCGACCGCGCTGTCGTGACATTATTGAAGAAGATATGCGCTTCAGAGAGAGAGAGAGAGAGAGAGAGAGTGACGTGGAGGGGGGGGGGGGGGGGTTGTGTGCTGTCGTTTTATGATGTTCCAAAATCGCCCCCGGTTCTTGATTCGCGCTACTGATGGAAAAAGAGCTTCCTTGCTCCAGGATCAAGGTGGATATGATGACATGATTAGCAGCAGATAATCCTCGTTCAGGAGATAATCAGACAGTGACTGGGACTTTGCTTGAACAAGACTTGATGCAGAGTCTCTGAAGCAACCAACCTTATACCAGGTCGTTCATGGAGAAAAGTAAAACTAAACTAGTGATGGAGGCTGACTCGTGAGACCATCAAACCTGTGATAAACATATACAAATCACCAACAACAACCCAAGAATCCCACTAGAAAATATGTCCATTGTCTGAAGGATAGAGACTACAAGATAAAGTCAAACTGAGAGATAGATATGGATCGTATGAACTTGTGCCCACTAGTCTGTACTAATAGAACTTGCGACCAACAGCTTAGATCAAAATCCCACGTTGATGTTGAATTTCCTATGAACATCAGTTCCTTCTCCTTTCATCTTGATCGGTCGCGCCAGTTGATCTGGTTTTCCTAACACTCTTGGGTCAACCCGCGCGTGGTCACCGACGTTCCTGCATTTCCCTTCAGATCTTCTTGCCTCGGCTTCAGGGTCCAAATGGGTTTCCCTCGCGTCTGCTGATGTTGAAGCCGCTTCTTCTTGACATCGTTTTGGCCATCGCAAGACGGATGCAAGACCAGGTCTTGCGTCTGCTCGCATTGGTCTTCTCGACAGGGCCAAGGAATGTGCTGGTTTGGGAGAGAGTAGGTGCCCTGGGGAGAGGCAAGGAGCTGTCCTTGATCTGTTAATTTCCTGAGATGGTGAGAGAGGAAGGCCTTGTGACCGAATTGGGAGTTCGTGGTGTTGTGATCTGATGTCTGAAGATATGGATTGCTCTGTTGAACCCCCTTCCTCATTCAGTGCTTCAATAGCTTGGTGTATCGTCTGCAAGCATCCCATTTTGGTCATCTGATGAACGAATCAATCAAATTGCCTTGCATTAAGCCAGACCAACATCAGAACAGAAATTTCACTGGGAATCTATATGTTGGATGATCAGGAGTACAGAGAAGTAGTGGGGAGATGATTCGAAGACAAGAATCGATCAGCTCGATCCTGTGTTTCAACAAAACAAAGGGCTTTTCTGGTTGGAGCTTGCAAGCTCAACAATGGCGTCTCTGAGCCTTTTCGTGGGCCTATCACAGAAATTTGCATTACTAGAGGTATCGGCCATGATCATGGGTCGGAATCATTTCCCACGAGGATCACACATTCACAAATTCGCGGAGTCCAAATATACCTTCGGCATTCGTTTTCACGAAGAAGATGGAGATGATAAGACTTCAATTTGTAGGCCACTCATAAGAATTGGAAGAGGCATCGAAGCAGATTCAACAGCCCATGCAGTTTGCATGAACTTTAGTAAAGCACCAAAGAAAGGGTACTTCTTTATTACCTTTTGCAGATAAAAGAGTAAGGTCGAGCGTATATTTTTGGAGAGTCACTCACGGTTTTCTTGTTGGATCGAAAAGCAAAAATATTATAATCTGACATCTCTTCCATTTCAATTCAATTATGGTATATCCTGAAAATGGTGTCAAAACGAAGAAGAAAGAGAACATATTTCCCCTTACCAATTGAATTTCCCAGATGAAGTTTGGATAAGATGGGCCCCTCCCTCCAATTGAACCTCCTCGTCCTTCGTCACAAACATTCAATCATCAAAAATATCAAAGGGCCAAGATTTTTGTAAGCCTCGCTCAGCAGCAAACGAGAGAAGAAATCAAGAATGGCCACTTTCTTTAGCTCTCCTCCGTTTCTCTCCCACCCCATCACAAGAACTCTGAACTTCTCTTCCTCTTCACCACCCCCGCAGAATCCTCCGCCGCCGCCGCCGCAGCCGCAGCCGCAGTCGCCGCCTCCGCCTCAGCAGCTGAGCGCCGCCTTGTCGGAGCAGCCCCAGCCGGTCTCGGTCAAGCCTCAGAAGAAGCAGAGGACGACGGTCGAGTCGACGGACTGGATCGCCAGTTCCCTGACCCGGCGGTTCGGGCTCGGCGCGGGCCTTGCTTGGGCGGCGTTCTTGGCCGTGGGCGTCGTCTCCGAGCAGATCAAAACCCGCCTCGAAGTTTCCGAGCAGGAAGCCAGTACGAGGTTTGTGGCAGTGATCGTTCTTGAATATTACTTGTTGATGCTTCGAAGCCATGAATGTGTTTGGATTCGCAGCTTGTTTCTTCCATGGGGATGAGAATAGCTAGTGCAAAATTAGGTACTTTGCAATTGAGAGTGCAACAGCAATGATGATAACTGAGGATTTAAAATCAAAGAACAATCCTGGGTGTTCTAGGATTGGTTGACAAAATTAGAATACATGCCGGACTTTTATTAGTAAATCTACCATTACTTGAAGTGAAACCATCCTTTCTTGAGCCACATGTATAGTTAACTTCGCAGTCGGCAGAAGACGATAGTGTGGCCAAGTGGGTATGATCTTGTTCTTGATTCTTGGACAATGACACTGTCGCTGGGCCTAAAGTTTTTGCATCACGAGACAAATTCCTAGCTAAGCTTCTATCTCCAGGCAATGAGAAAGACAGAAGCATGTGATTTTTGAGGCTACTGACATTTTAATAGAGTTTTGATTTAGGAATCGTCGATTCAAGAAAGTGAACCTCTGGCCGTGACATGATTAAACGGTATTTCGAGAGCCCAGCTCGTTACGGAATCTGCCTTACTTTGCAAGTCCTGTTTCTTCGTGATCTGAAGCAGCTAACGCAGCTGTCATTGTGCAGGAACGTTGAGAAGGAAGAAGAAGTGGTTTTGCCTAATGGGATAAGGTACACCTCGTGCTCTGTAATTTTGACCTCTCGAATTGGTAGTTTTTGCAAGCCTGAGGGCCACGAGTTGATCGCTTCTTCATACCTGCAAACAAATCAGGTACTATGAACTTCGAGTCGGTGGCGGCGCATCGCCGAGGCCAGGGGACTTGGTCGTGATTGATCTCAAGGGGAAAATAGAAGGAAGTGGCAAAGTCTTTGTCGATACATTCGAGGGTGATAAGAAGCCGCTGGCATTAGTGATGGGTTCGAGGCCATACAGTAAAGGAGTGTGCGAAGGAATAGAGTACGTTTTGAGATCGATGAAGGCGGGAGGTAAGAGGAGAGTGATAGTCCCTCCAGGTTTAGGATATGGAGAGAAGGGCACTGATTTGGGCACAGGGGTCCAGATTCCTCCGTCTTCAACCTTAGAATACATTGTTGAGGTCGATAAAGTCTCGATTGCACCTGCTTGAGATATCACATCTGGATAAAGTACAGTAGGAGTAACGCACTTGCCATATATTCATTTTCGGTCTGGTTCTTTTTGGAATGCATTGCCAAGGAATATCAGCTCTTAAGAAGCTTCTGGGTCCACTACTCGTTTCATGATGTTTCAAGATGATGATCTTCTCGGTAGTTTTGAAGGTAAATTAACTGAGATATATATTCTCGAACACTAGTTTCTCTCTTTCTCTAGTTTTGATGAAAGTCGAATTCTTTTCCCCGATTATTTGAGGTGGGGCGATGGCGTACTCGTCCCTGACCCAGAACTTAAGCTTTCGATGGGTTAAATTGTTAGCAATATCAGATCAAGGAGACAGCTTCTGCGTAGCCATTTACAGAACAAAATTTCATTCATCTCTCATCTGAATCAGTACATCAAAAATGAAGGGAAGAAAAGAAAAGGAGAGGAACAATAAGTCGCAAAAAGGGAGCTGGATGGACCCAAATTCAGGAAAAAAAATCAAAATATGGTCAGTAGACAACTATAAATCTGGTACTGACTCGTCGAAAACCCGTCCAATGGTTATGATCAACTTGAGCAACAGTATGGCTTTTTAGTAGCAGTGACCTCATCAATCTGAATGATCTGCTTAGGACCCTGAAGGCTACTGGTGATTTCATTGTTCTTGGCTTCTAAGCTCTTCTGGCTTGTGATCTCGTGGATTTTGGTGATCATCTCCAAGAATGCTTCTTCGACATTTAGATTCTCCAGAGCAGAAGTTTCCATGAAGCACAGATCCTCCGCCTCCGCAAAGCTCTTCCCTTCTTCCAGGTCCACTTCTCTAGAGCTGCTCAGGTCGGACTTATTCCCAACAAGGACCACCACCATGTCGGGATTCCCGAAGTCTCTGAGCTCGCGCAGCCATTTCTTCACGTTTTCGAATGTCACCCGCCGAGTGATGTCGTAAACCAGCAGCGCTCCCAGCGCTCCGCGATAGTATGAACTGGTGATGGCTCGAAATCTGCATTGAAAAGTTTGCATGCTGTCAGTTAATGTCCATTTACCTGCTATAAAGGAAGGATTAGCTATGAGTGCAAATGGACCGGTCTAGGCAAACTGTTTTCTTCCTCGAGGTCCGACCCGCCTGGCGGCTGGGCCTTTGCAAGGGTTTGAAGGGTATTCCTTGCTGAATCTGACCCGCCTAGGGCCAGAATTTGTCAAGTATAAGTACTAGGAACATGAGATTGGCCTACCAAATTGCTTTTATTGGGTCCCCGTGCTTGCTTTACTGGGTCACCCTACAAAGGCCAACCCAAGACCCTGAATTGGTGGGCGGGGGGACATTATTCTATTCTCTGACGCACCGGTTTTTGCTTCAATCCAAAGGAAGCATCATGGGAGGACTGTAGTATTGCACCCATCATAGCTCATTGCGACCATGCCTAAAGCAAACTCCCTTCACTCTGTTCTTTCTGATCTCATCCTTCAAACCCACCTCTCAACTTGTTTAATTTTTCCTTTTTGGACAAACCTCTCGATTGATAGAGTGACAAAGGCAAAAAGGAACTCAAAGTGGTGAGAAAGAAAAGTTCCAGTTACACAAAAACAGATAAAGAAGTACCTAACTATTCTAATTAGACACGTATTGAACCATCTTATCGATTTGAACTTTGAATTGTAAAGCGATGCATTTGGTGGCATTTTTTCGGGAACTACTTTTCTAATGTAAATTCCAATCATAGTCTGTGCGATCTAAAAAGTTGTAAGGTCATAAGTGGGCATGCTTCTTGGTCGCACTGGGGCCCACCTTGGTGGATCATCTTTTCATTTTTTCCCTACTTTGCATTAAAACCCTAGTGGTATGATTAGCTCAAGAAGGTTCACGGATTGGCAGCAATCACGGATGAGCAGTAGAGCTAAGAAAGTCTTCTTTCTTTTTTCGTTTCTGTTTCAGATGAAGTTCTGAAATCTGCAGAACCACGATCTTTCAGAAACAACTAATGGCATTAAAACCTATCAAGATGAATCCAAGAACCTCAAGAAAGGCAGCTTAAGAACCGTGCAAGGACATATCTACATGATTTCTATCTGCATAAGGAAAAAGAAAGTCAATTGGGCATCTGATGCCTCTTACTTCTCTTCAAGAAAAACTTGGTATCGAAAATTGACCATTTTCAATCAACAATCCCAAGAAACGCTATGATCCGAACGAATCAAGAACATCTTGAAACCAGGATGAGAACAAGACAAAAACAGAGACACAAAAACAGAGGTGCTCTACCTTTCCTGTCCTGCAGTGTCCCATATCTGGGCTTTGATGAGCTTGTCACCAACTTTGACGTTCCTGTATGCGAATTCCACTCCAATCGTGGGCTTCGAATCCAACTGGAACTCGTTCCTCGCAAATCTCGATAGGAGATTTGATTTCCCCACGGCGGAATCCCCAGTCAAGACGGCCTTGAACAAGTAATCGCACTCTTCGTCGAACGAATCAACCATCCCTTTTTCTCAGCGCCTCAACAAGAACAAGAAGCACGAGGAGAAGGAGACACCGATGAAGGAAGGATTTTCGTTATGGAAGTAGTTTAAAAACAGCACGGAACAAGAAGGAGTTGAGGCCGCCTGGGATGGTTGGTGCGGCACTTTATATACTTCCAAAGCAGAGAAAGGCGAGTAGTTTTATGAGGGCATCGGGGGGGTCTTGAGAGGCATTGAGTATGAACATCGTGAGACAATTGATAGTGACAGGATGGCTGTTCCAAGGCCAAATTGATGTAATCAACAAGGAAAGCCCACCGGGCCACCCCGGAATTTTCCATCGGTTTGCTTATATAATAGTGCAAGATATGATGGTTAATCATCTTTCCAAATGAAAAAATTAGCAGCCTGGATGGGGACTATTTGTTGGGGAATACAATCTAGGAGAGGTCCGTTTGCAAGCAATCTATGTCGATGATGAAAAAACAAGTGAAATATAGGAACACACTAGGTTTATTTCAACCCTTTGGTCCTGACTGATTCAAATGCGATCATTATAGGCTAATAAACATTAGAAGAGTCGCCATCTATCGGTTTTCACAAGCAATTGAAGAAACAAGGAAATCGAGTTGCTGGCGTGGCTATGAATGTTGAGAAAAATCAGGGTTCTTGTGGAGTCTAGAAGATGACGATCCTTGCCAAAGAAAATACAGTGATGCGATCTAACATTCCAATGGAGAGACAAAATGATGTAGAGTTTGAGGCAAAAAGATGCATAAGTGATGATAGGACCAAAAATTGAGGTGTTCCTTGTGATTTAACCTCGAAGAAAGGATTAGGGAAATCTTGAAATTGTTGACTTTTGCAATTTCGAAGGTTTATGGCCTAGGTTTGCTAGAATCCGATGTGGAACTTCGGATTCTTTTCAGTGGTCTATAGAGAGATTTCGGATTGAACCGGGTCAATAAACTGCATCTATTGCTTACCCACAAAAAAAGAAAAATAAAAAAACAATTCTTTTTCAACAATAAGAAGAAAGGTGTAACGCCCAGCATAAAGAGAATGCAAGGAAAATAACATAAATGATCCATGAATTTTGGTTCAATGCGTAATGTCGTCCCTGAATTTTTAATTTGTTCAATTTTATCCATGAATTTGTGGTACATATTCAATTTGATCACTGAACTATATGAAAATATTTAATGTTATCCCTGAACTTAAATTAATAGAAGAATAACATTAGATATTTTTATATAATCTAGGGACTAGATTGAACATTTATCAGAAGTTCAGAAGTCACATTGAACAAATTAAAAGTTTAGGAACGGTATTGCATATTGGACTAAAGTTTAAGGACCATATTGAACAAATTAAAAGTTCAAAGAGAACGGTGTATATTGAGCCAAACTTCAGGAATCATTTATGTCATTTTCCCAAGAATGTATATTGGTGAACCAATGACTATGGATTGGCAGGACATGATGCCCTGAAAGCATGGTTGCTCATCCCATCTTTGAGTAATTCTTCTATCGCCACGTAAAGTTTGATTTCGAAGAAGAAAAGATAAAGAGAAAATGGTTCTAGCTTTTCAATAGGCCTAATTCCCTAAAAAAAATTCCTTCAATTTTAGGTTTATATCAAAATATGCCCCAAACCTTATTTTGTCACATCATAAAAAGCCCCCAACTTTCAATGGATTCCCAAATCTACCTTATGTTAGATTTTCATTCCATTTATACAAGAAAATATTCAGTGGTTGCAAGCGCCACGTGATGTAGCGGGCTTTTTTTTACTGATATCCAATAATAAGTTGGTAACGTGTCAGCTGAGGTGGAATAATTTTTTTTTGATTTTTATCTTCTTCTTCATCCATCACAGAGCACCACCCCTCCTACCACCATTTCCACCTCTTCAGGCGTTGCTTGTGGTCGATCCTCCTCCATCACGGGGCACCACTGCTCCAACCACCATCTCCATCCCTTCTGGCATCGCTTCCTGTACTCGACGTAAAATCCCCCGAAACCACATCGGTTTCAAGGCTCGATCACAGCCGTTTCCTCACCACCACTTTACCCATCTCATCTTTCTCGTTCCTTTCTCTCTGCTTCGTCGGCTCCATTGATTCCAACCTACTCGTGGTCGTCCTCCTCCAATTGGCCCGCCGATTCGATTGCAGTGGGTTGTGCCGGATTTCGAGCCAAAGGAGATTGTACGACACCAATCGTTCTCTGCTTGTTCTTTGTGTTTCTGGTGCGCAATTTTCCATTTAGTTGTCCAGTTGGGTTTTGTTGATCTTGTTTTGCGAGTGCTAGTTTTTGGAATTTGGGTTGTTGGAGCATTGACTGTGTCCTAGAACGATGTTATTGTAAATTCAAATAGTTCTATACAATCAAATCCTAATATTTGCACAAAACATAATTGCCCATGCTCTTAGAACAAGATGATTTTCGCAACATCATAAGAGACGAGAAACATACCTTGATCCATGATGATTCCTTATGAAGAAATCAATTGTAAATGAGAAATCTTTAAAAAAATAGGTTTCTTTCTCTTGACCTCTTTTCGCTTTCTGACGTTCTTGATGGAAAAGAAACCGTTGTTCTATTCTAGGGTTGAGAGAGGACTAGTTTTTAATTGGGTCTTTTATAGTCATACCATCCATCAGGGTGTACAGTAATTAGAATACACCTCTCTATTGACCAATAGGAATTTAGCACATAATAATTGTTAAACTTAAACCACATATGGGCTAGGCTATTAATCACGTGGGCCATAATAAAATCCAACATTCTCCCACTTGGCCCATGTGATATTATTCAACTTTAAGGTTTAACAATAAAACATAATGCACAAAGTATAAGCTAAATCCTTTCTCAAATTGGCCAAATCATAAATCATCATTAAGTAAGAACTTATAAGGATCATGGCGGTTGTATGTCATTAGTTCGACACAGTCCTTTTCATGTATCACAGTATCAGTCCTATACTTAACATGATCAATAATGAGAGATAACATAATAGTCCAGCAATAATGTTTTTTTCATAAACAAATCCTGTCAACATTCACATAATTCATCCATGTATATACTAACATAAGGAAACAGGATGCATAAGTGTATCAGAAACAATACATAAGTGTATCGGAGTGTCAAGTACATAAGAGCATAAAACTTTAACATAATGTCAATAATGATTTTCAATAATGCCTATTCTTTCGACATGTTCACTAAATGTCTTTGGTGGCAACCCTTTAGTTAACGGATCTACAACCATAAAATTGGTGCTAATGTGCTCAATTGACACTCTTCGTTTATGAACTTCTTCTTTAACGGCAAAATATTTCAATTCCATGTGTTTAGCACCCTTCGAATACTTGTCGTTTTTAGAGAAGAAGACTGCTGCTGCATTATCACAATAAATTTTCAGCGGCTTGGCAATACTGTCGACAATTCCAAGTCCTGAAATAAAGTTCCGCGGCCATAATCCATGAACAGTGGCCTCAAAGCATGCCACAAACTTAGCTTCCATAGTGGATGCAGCAATGACAGACTGTTTCGCACTTTTCCATGAAATTGCTCCTCCAGCTAAAAGGAACAAATATCCATACGTGGACTTTCTGGTATCCACACACCCAGCTCAGTCCGAATCTAAATAACCTATCACCTCAAGATGATCGGACCTTCTAAACGTAAGCATATAATCTTTTGTCCCTTGCAAGTATCTCAATACTTTCTTTGCAACTTTCCAATGATCCAATCCTGGATTACTTTGATACCTGCCCAGCATTCCGAAGAAAAACTAATGTCTGGCCTGGTACAAGTCTGAGCATACATCAAGCTCCCAACAATAGATGCATAAGGAATTTGTTTCATTCTTTGGGCATTGCATAAGGCCCAATTTATCTCCTTTCTGAATTGGAACAACACTTGTAGAGCACTTTTCCATCTTGAATCTCTCTAGAACTTTGTTCATATATGCTTTCTGAGACAACCCTAACAATTCTTGTGATCTATGACGGAATATATCAATTCCAATCACATAAGATGCCTCACTCATATCTTTCATTTCAAAGTTCTTAGAAAGGAATTTCTTGGTCTCATGTAACAAACCAAGATCATTAGTAGTAAGCAAGATATTTTCAAAATACAAAATCAGAAATATAAACTTGCTCCCACTGACCTTCAGATATATACACCGATCAACAGTGTTTTCCTTAAATCCAAAGGAAGTGATAGTATCATTGAACTTAAGATACCATTGTCGGGAAGCTTGTTTAAGTCTGTATATTGACTTCTTAAGTTTACACACCATATGGTCCTTTCCTTCAACTGAAAACCCCTCTGGTTAGTCCATATAAACTTCTTCATCTAAATTCCCATTCAAAAAGGCAATTTTCACATCTATTTGGTGTAACTCTAAGTCGTAATGAGCCACCATAGCCATAATAATTGTCAGAGAGTCCTTCTTAGACACGGGAGAGAAGATCTCTTTATAATAAACACCATCTTTTTGAGTAAAACCTTTGGCAATGAGTCTAGCCTTGTATCTTTCAATATTGCTACTTGAGTCGCGTTTAGTCTTAAAGACCCATTTACAGCCGACTCTTTTACAACCTTCAGGCAAATCAACAAGGTCCCAAACTTCATTATGATCCATTGATTTTAACTCTTCCTTCATGGCGTCAAACCATCTATCAAAATTAATACTTTCCATGGCTTGTGAAAATGAAATTGGATCTTCATCAATTCCTAAGTGAAATTCAGATTCATGTAAATAAACCATATAATCATCAGAAATAGCAGATCTTCTTTGCCTTTGAGACCTTCTTAATGCCACTTCATGTGGTTCATCTACTGCAGGTTCCTTAGTAGCAACTTCATCATGGAGTGTTTGGTCATTTATTTGTTGTTCTTGTATGTTGTCAAACCGTTTGACAGCTGTGGGAACAACAACCTGATAATGAGTTATAGGTAAAGGTACTTGTACAACTTTTTGAATTTCCACTTTTCGTGGTTCTACACTCCCACTAGTTTCACCATTTTAAATGAACCTAGATTTCAACAATTCTTGTACTATGGTTAGGACAGTAAAATCTATACCCTTTGGATTTTTCTGGATAACCAATGAAGAAACCACTGGTTGTTCTTGAGTCTAGTTTCTTTTCATGAGGATTATAAATCCTTACTTCCGTTAGGCAACCTCAAACATGCAGGTGCCTCAAACTGGGTTTCCTTCCTATCCATAGTTCAAAAGGAGTCTTTGGAACTACCTTACTAGGAACCCTGTTTA